TTGCTCATACAACTTTCATCGATGTCAGGGAGAGTGCGGAGGGCGAGGGCTCCTCCACTAGCATTTCATCAGCCTATATCGTCCGCTCGCCCTGCCTCAGGGTCTACTTCTCGACCTTCGTCGAGGACCGCTTCGGTTGAGTCTACGGCCGTGGCTGTGCGCACGGAGGCTGCCCCTCGAACAGAGATTTCGACCCCTGCCACCTACCCAATGGGGGAATCTTCCCGTGCCAAAGAGGGGGGGGGGGGGCATCAAAGAGGCGGCGAGTGGAGTCTGAAACGGCTCCTTCGGCCATGGTACATTAAGAGGGTGATCTCCCATTGACGGGGTACGAGGCGGGCGTTGATGCTATTTCGCCTGCAGAGACAGAGCCAGCCATTGCGTCCGCCCCATCGACGGAGATCCCGACCGCTATGATTGGCCAACAACCTGCCGCGACGGGGGGTCAAAATCCTGAGGCCGTTATTATTGCTTTGGACGGGCCTTCATCTTTGATGCCGGGTCGTGCTTCTTCTTCAGCCACAGAGAGGGAAAAAGCGTCATGGTTGATGACTGCGAATCTAAGTCTGATCTTGATCTTGATGACGTCAGGATGTTCGAAGAGGGCCTTACCCGTACGGTGGTACATGCGGGAGGCCCGTCCCGTATACTTGAAATCCCGTTGGATATTAACCTCCTGGGGGATACGGAAGACCTGGTCCCGCAGTTTGACCTCTTGTGTTCTGCCGCCGAGAGTGAAGCTCTCCGGGACGTCCGTGACATCGATTTGATGCACGAGGTGGCCGTTATGGGCCTGAGGGTAAGTTTTCTCTTCCCTATTGTGCTCTTTTCATCCTTGTCGACCTTGGCCTTAAAAAATTTTGTTTTTCAGACGTACATGGTGGAGATTGAGAGTGCTCATAAGGCCGACACTCAGGCCAAGATTTTTCTGACGATGTTGGAGAAATATCGGCGCTACCGCAACAAGTGCCGTGATATGCATGAGCGGCTGAGGGCGGATGCAGGTGATCGATCCCTTGGTGAGGAACTGGAGAAGAGGGATCAGGAGCTAATGCAGGCTATTCGCAGGAATAGCAAGCTTGAGGAGCAACTTCGTGTAAAGGACGAAGAACTTGAGGTGGGCAAGGGAGCTGCCGTAGAGTGTGAGCATCTTCAAGCAAGGTTGCGATTGATGCAGACTGAGTTGGATCAGAATGCCATCAGGGTCGAGGCGATGAGCACGAAATGGATGGGAAAATTGGCCGAACTGGAGAGAAAGGTCGCCGGACTGGAGAATATCGAGAGCGCATGGTCGGAGGCTTTGGCCAGGGCAGCGGCTCTAGAGAACACTATCCGCGTCCTCCAATCCAAGCAGGAATCAAAAAGGGCGACATCCACGCTAAGGGAAGCGAGACTCGAGGAGCGTATTGGTGAGATCGACCAGGAAGCGTCGACCTTGGGGGATCGGGTCGCTGCTCTTGTAGCTGAAAAGGAGAAACTATTGGCTCAAGTCGAGCCTTGCCCCACCGGCGTTACCCGTAATTTGCATGAGCTCTGGGTTCATGCCGAGGCATAGCGGGACATATATAAGAGTTAACCCGTCGTTATCGATCGAAGTCGAATTGTTAACCCGTCGTTATACGATTGAAGCCGAACTCTTCTTTTTGGCGATGTCCCTTGGCCTTAAGGGTGTTATTTCGAACTCGTCGAAATATTAACCCGTCGTTGTTCGATCGAAGTCGAACTCTTCTTTTTGGCGATGGCCCTTAGCCTTAAGGGTGTTATTTCGAACTTGTCAAAATGTAACCCGTCGTTGTTCGATCGAGGTCAAACTCTTCTTTTTGGCGATGGCCCTTGGCCTTAAGGGTGTTTTTTCGAACATGTCGAAATGTTAAACCGGCGTTGTTCGATCGAGGTCGAACTCTTCTTTTTGGTGATGGCCCTTGGCCTTAAGGGTGTTATTTCGAACATGTCGAAATGTTAACCCGTCGTTGTTCGATCGAAGTCAAACTCTTCTTTTTGGCGATGGCGCTTGGCCTTAAGGGTGTTATTTCGAACTTGTCAAAATGTTAACCCGTCCTTGTTCGGTCGAAGTCGAACTCTTCTTTTTGGCGATGGCCCTTGGCCTTAAGGGTGTTATTTCGAACTTGTCGAAATGTTAACCCGTCGTTAGTCCAGTCTTCTGGAGAGTTTTGGGTGTCTTCTGGGGAAGTCCCTTTTTTTGCTCAACTCGTGTGTTTCCTGGGTGAGTTCCAGTTTTCATAATTTGTGTGCGTTGGGGAGTGTAACGACGGGGAGTACCGAGCGTTGCTATCCTGCCAATGCTTGCTTTATGCGTGTATTGGGGTCTCCCTGTTAAACCCCCCTTGTTATTCGGCCTGGAGAGCTCGCCAGCGGGCGGGGCGATAGACTGTCCTTTGAGCTTTGGTGATGCCCCCTTGCTGCCTCGTTCAAGACCTCCCCGAGAGAACCCGATTGGGACAAAACCCGGGTGAGGGAAAGGGAGTGCGATAGTAGAGGACGTCATTTTCCAGAGGTTGACGTGTTTGAGATGGGCGATATTCAGGATATTTTGTAATAGTTCTACTCTCTAGTTGGGATGCTCCTCTGCTTGCTCGCCCATGCGGCGCTTGTGTTCCTGTTTAAGTGAACAACAGAAGGTGAACCAAGATGAGATTTTCCTTACCTCGGTCCAATGGGTCGATGGACGAGGGTAGCCTCATAGTGCTGTTCGCTCTCCCTGACGTTTAAGTGGTTGATGAGATGGTGGTTTGTGGGTTCGGCAGCCGCGTTTGCCCTTCTATTCTTCCTCTCCCTTTCTTTTAAACATGCCCTGGTTCTGCGTGGGTTGGGTTTGTCTTAGCTCATTCGTGGATCATTCGGTGCGTGGGTCACCCCTTAAGATGCGCCCATCCTCTTGCGGGATTTGCGCAACCGGCGCCGTCTTCTTTTGCAAGCTTTGCGTGGACATTGGTTGTAACTTCTGCTTCTATGCAACATCATGCTTTGGATTAGCGCGTGAGGTTTACTTACCACTTTCTTCGGTGGATGATTATGGGTTTCGATCTGAAGGAGAATAGGAACTTTGACTGAGAAATTCCTACAGATGGCGCCAAATTGTTTGACCAAAAGATATTGAAACCTTTTTGATTAAATCAATTAATGAAGATGAAGAGGTAAATCTTAGTCAAGCATAATAAACTCTAGATCCATAACCAAATTAGAAAATAATGAATGAGATGAAATAGGGGCGATCAATCTTATTGATGTTTTTCATTTCTTCTCCCATCAATCGATGGAGATAATCCGTTTACATAATGTCTGGAAAATCGTTTTATCTTCTTTCTACTAAGAAGATTACAGAGGAGAGGAAAAAGAGAAAAAAGTCCCCCCCCCCCCCCTTTCTAGGAAGGTTCCCTTCCTATATATAGTCATGGAGTCCTTGCTATGTTCTTGGGGTCAATGCTTCTGCATACCACGTCCGTTTTCGTCGTTCCCTGAGTATTGTTCTCCGACTTAGCGGGCACTGTGGGTATATGGTTTGGAGCAAATCATGGCGTCTTTCATTGTCCCGCCGCTTGGGCGGGATCCCAGTTGGGTCGACCACAACGGTCAGATTTTGACCAATACAGGGCGGAGCCATGTGAATGAAAGGGGCTTCAGGCAAACTTCGTTCGCTCGAAAATTTTATTGTGTATATACGGTTAATTTTTTTTGGATGTGCACATATTAAATGGTGAATACCCTTTAGATTGTCTGCGTGTTTACTTTTTTTATGTTTTTGAATCCCCTTGGTGACAATCCTACTTCCACCAAGAGTGCTCCGTTACCACTAATTAAAGGTGCTCATGTTTAGTTATTTCATTCTTTCTAAACCTATATATATTTAATATTAGTATTATTATTATTTTGGCATATAGTTTTCTGTGTGTATATTTATATAAGGCCTGTGGTTTAATATATGTATTGTAACACCTCGAGCCTTAGTTAACTTCTATGTACGTATGTTGATCAAAATTCAAAGTAATAGTTAAACAATTAAAAGTTCCCAAATAAAAATATCATTAGGCCAAATTCCAAACAAGTCATTATTGGTATCCTCCAAGAATAGCAAACTCTTAACTGAAGCAGTTTCAGTTACGTTCTCGCACGCCCAAAGCGTGACCCTATCACTATGATACGGTGATTCTTTTTATAAAATACTAATCAAAATTTATATAATTTTAATTTCGAGAAACGAAAAATATCAAGTAACTTGGAATGGAGAGAGTAGTAGATATGGTAACCACTGGAATATTTCACTTAATGAAACTCTAAAAGTCTCAGATAATTTTGTTTATTGATGACTGGGGCGGAGCTACATAGCCGAGCGCGGATTCGGTCAAATTTGATAGCTTTGGTTCGAACTTTCTATTTATCTTAAATTTTTTATCGAATATGTATAAATTATTAATTTAGAATTCAATAACTTAAGACGATTAAACTCTTGAATCTATAAATTTAAAATCTTAGCCCCGCCTCTTATGGCTGATTATGAAAAGAGGAGCCAACAAATTCTTCTTAAAGTAATTTTTTTATATGCAATTTATAATATTTTTTCTATAATTTCGAAAATCTATATTTTAATTTTAAAAATATTAAGTTGATCTCCAATTTAACTTCGAAGACAAGTTAAATTGACGCGTGTCACCTTATGTATTTCAAACACTTTTTGCTTGTCTCGAAATGAGCAATTTTTTTTTTCTTTTCTGGAAAAACTATTTCAACCAACATTATTTAAGAAAAGTTTCCGATTTTTTCAAAAAATAATTCAACGGTTTGAAAATAAATACCAAGGATTTTTTAGAAACGAGCATATACCAAAATGAACATTTATAAGTTTTATAAAATAAATCTTCCAACATTCCCATTTTACGTTATAGTGGAAGAGTTGCAGCAAATAAATTGGAGTTGTTGCGTTTTACTTTTGTTCATTACTTTTTCTTTTTATTTTGCTTTTCCTAATTTCCAAACATTGGAAAAGATTCAGCAGTTTCTTGGAAACCGCACTCTTCTTCGTCTCTCTCTCTCTCTCTCTCTCTCTCTCTCTTCTCTCGCACGCAAAAACATTTGGGATATTTATTTCTCCTCAAACTTTTGCTTCAACCCCCAATCATGGCGCAAATGAAGCTTTCACTTTCGCTTTTTCTCTCTCTTTTTCTTCTCCTTGTTTTTTCTCCTTCTTCTTCATTCGCGAAGGTTTCAATATCTTCGAAGTTAGCATCGAAGCAAGCTGAGAAGTTGATACACGAGCTCAATTTGTTCCCAAAAGAATCCGATAATATCGTCGATCGGGATCCATTTCCCACCGCTGCTTCTAGAATCGTCGAGAAGCGATTCTCATTCCCTAATTTGGCGAATTCTAGTATAATATCCTTTGAAGATTTGGGGCATCATGCCGGTTATTATAAGATTAAGCATTCTCATGCTGCTAGGTACCTTTTCAAACCCTAGATTAATTTTTTTTTCAAACTCTATCTCGATTTTTATGGAAGTGTTTAATTGAGCACGGAATTTAAGATGTTGATTTGATTTAATTATTAGAGTAACAAGTATTCTAAGAACATATTTCCATAAATGTACAAAAGGTAATTTGATAGAAAAGATTATCAGATAATGTTAAAGTGTCGCACATTGGTTGAGGGAATGAAGTGTTGTCTCCTATGGTATCAAGCAATCCTCAGTTCCTCACGCTAGTTTTTGAGGTTGTGGTAGGGTAAGGTCGACTTTGTTTTCTCCAAGTTGGGCTCGCATGTTATGCTATCCACACTCCAGGCGTCCACTGCCTCAGCATGTGGCAGTGTTAAAGTGTATCCCAAATTGGTGGAGAGAGTGGACTGTTGTCTCCTTATATAGTGAATAAACAATCATCACCTCATGAGCTAGCTTTTGAGGTTGAGTTAGGTCCAAAGTCTATATTCTTTTCAAAGAAAGAAATTAGAGTATCTTGAAAATTGCGAGCAAAATGGAGTCAAATGTTCTGGGACGTCCTAAAATAGAAAGTTCATCAAATTGGAACAGACCAGTACCATATTTGTTGCTTCATACACTTCCTGGTTTTTGTGATTCTTGTTCCAATATGCATTATCATAGGTATCCAACCAAATTATAGTTTCAGTTTTTTTCTTTTCTCTTATGTTAAACTACTGTCAGGTCCAGCAATGCATTGTGGTGTAATAGGTTTTTGTTGTCTATAGAATGTCAGCAAGCTCTCGGTAGTCTTCTATCATGCAGTGGACCCCCGCATGCTCCTCTATCCTCATACAAGTTCACTTTTCACTTCGGAAATTCGAATACAACAGTTGTAACTCGTGTGAAAATGAATTCAAAGGATGTTTATTTGATATTGCGATAAAATGGATTTTTTTTTTTTGGTAAGAGGGGAAACCAGCAGCCGCTACAGTCTCTGCCACAGCCTCTGCCCTTCGGGTGAGCACTCTATGGTGAGCACTTTGTGCGCACTGGTAAACCTCCCCTGTGCGATAAAATGGATTTAAATATAGCAGAATTTTTATAGAGTATTCATTTAGTCAACCCCTATTAATTTGGAAGTGTTTGACTGGTTGATTAATGGAGAAATATTAGTCTGCTTCACTTATTTACCTTCAACTGTCATTACACGTAGCTTTTTTGGGGAACCATCAGATTTTTACAGTTTGACCACTTATCTGTTTAAGTCAATCAATGCGCTTAAGAAGTTGCCAAATCAGTTGAAATATTGAAAGGAATGCTGCAACATTGTTTCATTTAAATATTTTTCTTTCGTGAGCATTTACCAAAATATACGTCTCCGAAGTATTTAGGCTTTATATCTTTGTCTTCCTGTCTGATGTATCAACTAGCTTCTTCTTATTTGTTGGTTGGATCTTATTTAGCTTGAACTGTGTTATCTTTCATTTTGTAGGTTGTTCTATTTCTTCTTTGAATCACGAGGTAGTAAGGACGATCCTGTTGTTATCTGGTTGAGTGGAGGACCTGGTTGTAGCAGTGAGTTGGCCCTTTTCTATGAAAATGGACCTTTCTCAATTGCAAATAATTTGTCACTTGTGCGGAATGAGTATGGGTGGGACAAGGTAATCGACTAACTTTAACATCACCTTATAGTCTTAATGGTTTCCGCTATTTAACAGCAGTTTATTGTGTTATGTGAACATGGTTTTACTTAAGCAATGGTAGCAATTTACCTTCTTTGCTCTTCAGTAGATGATTCAGCTCGATAGAAGAAGACTTTCTCTTGCTTTTACTCGATGGCACATGAAAGTTAAGAATATAATGGGGCATGGACATATAGATTATTAGATTTTGCATTGACAACATCTTATGCATGTCCTTTATCCAGTCGTTTTCATGATAAGTAGTTTTTGCAGACTGCTAATTTATTTGCAAAGTGCCAATTAGCGAAAAGCTTGTTTGTTATTATCATTTTTAATTTTGAAAAGATTATTTGAAAAGACAATTAAGATAAAACTTAATAACATGTCTATATCTAGTTTAATGCTGCGTAAAATCGAAGAATCATCGGTATGGTTTGTGATTAAGCTTTGATAATCCAAGCTTCACCATTATCCTTCTTCGAGATGTACCAGTAATCAACCTGAAATGAATGACCGATTCACAGGCACAAATTGATACTTCATCAATGTGTAGAAAATCCGTGGGGACCATTTCTTTCTTGCACATGATACATTTGTCGGGAGAAATTGTCCTTTTTAGCCTTTAGATAGTTACACTTTCAGCATTTATGTAGTTGTTATCAATCGTACTGCAAAAACCTTTTTTTCCAGAAGGGGTCTTGTGTTTTAACTGAAATCTTATTGCTTTGCATAGGAAACATGTCAGCCATATTTTTTTCATTAGACCTCTGATACTGCACTTCCCTGATTTCATGTCATGCTTCTGTCTGTTTTAATGCTCTACTTCTTTGCTCATTACTGAAATAAAGTTGCCTGCATGGCAATTCAAGACTGCAGAGAGGAAAGTGCTTTATGTTCCATAGGATCTTGAGTTTTGGTTTTTATGGTTTGGGTCTTTTATTGCTGACTCCTACGGTGTCAAGTTTGCCTTGTGTTTCACATATGTTCCTTGTGAAGTAGATGTTTCTTTTTTATTATCGATTTTCCTTTTTCTCCTACAAGGGCACTAGAATACGTTAATAAATTTTCCAAACCTGAAGAGATGATATTGACATGTTATTTCTGCAGGTATCAAACCTTATCTATGTGGACCAACCTACAGGTACTGGCTTTAGTTACAGTTCTGACAGACATGATATCCGTCACAGTGAAGCAGGTGTTAGCGACGACTTGTATGACTTCCTACAGGTTTGTTCTGTGTGAAACTAAACCCCTAAAGCAACATGGAACCATATATATTTACTCCTCTGGAATTCAACCATTGTAATCATTGTCTTATGATGACAGATAGTTAATTGTTAAACATAATGATATGGATGATTTCCTATGTTTTCTTCACCTATCAATTGCTAGTTGCATGTATGTCATTCATGAGGCTTGCACCGGACAATTTGTCCCGCTTCTGAAGGGCAATAAACATTTCACCTGGAAAAAAAGGATGATAAACTTTTCCTTAATATGGATAAAAAATGTACTTAGGGGTGGAAGCAACTTCAGTCCTGGTTGTGAACATCCTCAAGGATGCAAATTCATTTATGGCATTCCTTTCCGTTAAGTAAAATCATTATTGTTGCAGTTGCGATACATTGGCATTCCTGAATGTGGTTTGATTATGAATTCTCTTGAGCATTTGTGACACATTGGCATTCCTGAATGTGATTTGATTATGAATTCTCTTGAGCATTTGTGACACATTGGCATTCCTGAATGTGGTTTGATTTGATTATGAATTCTCTTGAGCATTTGTGACACATTGGCTATTTTAGTTTCGTTCTTCTATGTGATGCAGTGAGCATTTTTCTAAACTGATGTGTAACAGAGACAATACGATCCTGACTTGTTTGTATTGGTATGATCATTAATAATGGTTTAGGCTTTCTTTGAAGAGCATCCTGAGCTTGTGAAGAATGACTTCTACATAACCGGAGAATCTTATGCTGGGCACTATATTCCTGCTTTTGCTGCTAGAGTACACAAGGGAAACAAGGCTAAAGAAGGAATACATATAAACTTAAAGGTACCTCATTTTCCCAGTTATTGAATTTTTATTTCCTTAATCACGTGTCTTTACTTCATTGAAAGTATTTGAACAGGGTTTTGCCATTGGGAATGGGCTTACGGATCCCAAAATACAATACGCTGCATATACTGACTATGCATTGGACATGGGATTAATTTCGAAGTCTGATCATGATCGTATCAACAAAATACTTCCAGTTTGTGAAGTTGCAATAAACCTTTGTGGTACATTGTTTTACCTGTTTACTATCTTTCTTTCCTCCATATCATTTGACTCATTCGAGCTTTCCCTGGGTGAAAAAGAAAAGGGGAGGGGGACTGATGAAGTAAATGAATGTTCTTTGACCACAACAAATCAATTCTCGGTACTTTTTTTTGCTTCTCAGTTTCTATGTCTGTTATTATCCTTTTAGGTACTGATGGGAAAATCTCTTGCTTGGCTGCGTATTTTGTTTGCAATTCTATATTCTCTGCTGTTCGTGCCCGTGCTGGGGCTGACATCAATGTAAGTTATCAGCCATTTCTGTCTGTGTTTCCCATTTTCTACTTATTCTAGTGCCTGTGAGACTTATTCTGTACGTCGTAGAGAAATAGGTGTTACTAGACTCAGAAAGAGTAGAAATGATCCCAGAAATTTATTTCTAAATTGCTACCCCATATCATTTCATGTTGAATATGTTAAATTACTCAAGAGGTGACGTTGTCCTTGGCATGCCTTCCAAAGTTTGGAACAAATGACTGATTAACCATGTTTCTGATCCATTGATTTCACCTGCAGCATTATGACATCAGAAAGAAATGCGTCGGAGCACTCTGCTATGACTTCTCAAACATGGAGAAATTGCTGAATATGCACTCTGTTAAGCAGGCTCTTGGAGTTGAGGATATAGAGTTTGTCTCATGCAGTACTACTGTGTACCAGGCCATGCTTGTTGATTGGATGAGAAATCTTGAGGCTGGCATTCCAACATTGCTTGAGGATGGAATAAAATTGCTTGTCTATGCTGGAGAATATGATCTTATTTGCAACTGGCTTGGTAAGCTTTGACTTAACTCTTAAGCTTAATGATGGAAACTTTTCACGTAAACATTCCATATGTCGTAACGCATCTCCTTTACCAGGTAACTCAAGATGGGTTCAGGCTATGGAATGGAGTGGTCAGAAAGAGTTTGTAGCATCCCCCGATGTCCCTTTTGAAGTTGACAGTTCTGAAGCTGGATTGTTGAAAAGCCATGGGCCTCTGAGTTTCCTGAAGGTGCCTTTCTTCGTCGATGTTATTGTTCAATTTCTAGTGATGGGTGTTTGAGCTAACTGTTTTTTGTCGTATAATAGGTTCACGATGCTGGACACATGGTTCCAATGGATCAACCTAAAGCTGCCTTAGAGATGCTGAAGAGGTGGATTGGAGGCACCCTTTCTCAGCAGACGACTGAGACCGAAGACTTGGTTGCTTCAATATGATTTCTGATTACGCTTTTCATGGTATTCAGATATATGTAAATATTACTCTTATCCTCATGTTAGATGGCCTCTTTAGCAGCCACTGAGGATTGGTGGCCTTGTCCTGTTGTCCAAACTTTCCTTGCCACTGTACGTTTGAATGAAAGCAATGACAGACTTTCTGGAGACATTATAAAATTCTGAAGACGGATTTAGAAAATATGCATATATTATTGTGGGATATCTAAGAAGATATCTATATTGCTTAGCGTTCTCCTCCTTATGTGCTGTTGAAGTAGTGTGATAAAACAATCAATCACTATGTTATAGTCCCAAATTAAGCTGGATTCAACTATATGAATGATCTACAGTCATTCTGTTCGATTCAAATTGTTGCATCCAATACTAACTTGCGCAGACATTCTTATATATGTCCTCATATAGTTCTTGCGCTCAATCTAAGTAGGCGTTTGGCCATACATTTTTTGGAAGTCTCTTTCCAAAAAAAATAATTCCAATTTGTGTTTGTTTATAGAATTAATCTAGTTTTTGGGAGATTTTAAAAACCAAACTTCAAATGCCAATGGCATATATAGCTTAAGACCTCTTTTTGGGCCAAATCAGGACCATTTTAGACTTTTTAGTTGAAAATGAGACTTTTTAACATGTCAAAACTTGCCCCAAAATTTATGTGCAAACACTTCAATTTCACATCAAACTTCATCCAAATCAGCTTTTTCAAAAAATATTTAGAAATCTATATCCAAACAGGTATAAGTTTAAATTTTCCTTCTAAAATGGTGTGTATTACGAAAAGATTACATCGTTTGGAACTAGTTAGGACAGTCGATATGGATTTCCTATTTTTCATTTTGCTACATTCTATGCTTAGTTTTGGATTGATGTCGAGGAATTTTAAATCTTTCAAGATAATCTCTTTTCATGTGATTTTCGATATATTTCATTTTTTTTGTAAAACATTCAATCGGCATACTTCTCAAATTTATGGACTAGTGCATATGGAGTCTACAAAAATCTCAAACCACATTCCCTCATTTTATCTGTTATGAACAATTTATTGTATGTGATTATTTTTAATCCTTTTTAGTAGTGTTTATGGACCATTAACATATCCTAACATCTGTATGGGTCAAAATCTGGCTTAGGAAATTAGGCGTGAGAAGGTCGTTGAGTGAGGACTGTGTTTCGATTTGGGCGGCAAGTCGAGGTCGACTGAAGCCCAACAACGAGCAATCGCTGAGCAAGCCGTTGTAGCCGAGGTCGAGTAGCGAAGAGTAGGAACAACAGCTAGTTTAGTCTTGGGACTAGTGATAGGAATATTCCTTTTGTTGTACTTTTTTAGGGTTTTAGAGAACATCCCATATTAATAGAAAAGGAGAGAGAGGAAAAGGGGCACGTGAGATTCATTCGGAGAAAAACTATTGTAAGAAGTTGACTCTTGAGAGAAAATACAAAGTTTACCTTTCCATAGTGATTGATTTTGTCAATTATTCTTCCTTTCTATTCACACGGTCCAAGAAGGCATTGTTCATTTTCTTATTGATTGCCACACTTTGTTGTCAGGTGGAAGAATCTTCCGCATCACTCAATATTTGGGTGAATCGTTCCTCCTATTTACATTTATTGCCATTTCCCATATTTCTTGCTCATCATTCATTTTTCATTTATTCTCAATGCATGCACTTAATATTCTGATAATCGACTCCACGCGTTGAATAGACGATGCCATTTAAACATTTAGCTAGATCTAAGAATTATTATGCTTGAATAGGATTTACCTTTCACCGTATTTATCCTTTGATTAGTTTAACAAAGAGTGCTATACTTTTTGGTCAAAAAAATTGGCGCCGTCTGTGGGGAGTTTCTAGTCAAAATCATAGTCTTTCTAGATCTACAAAAACATACCAATAGCAAAATACAGGATTTTCTTTCCCCTACTTGCATAATCTAACATGGTAGGAAGTGGAGAAGAAAGACTAAAATCAGTGGCATGCCTTACTACTAATCTCCTAAACACCATCAATGAAACTCATGGAGAGGACGAGGAGAACGTGACACCAAGCGCCTCACCTAGGCGAAATGATTCACCCCTCCTCATGGCAATGTTACCGCTTCTCATGGAAAGGGAGCCTCTACGTCCACTATAGAAGAATACACTAAACAGTATACTCGACAAACTCGCTCAGAGGGTGAGCAGAGAGGGTGAGCGAGTCGACATCGCCACAACAACCAATGAGCAACACACCCAGCCTCCCTCGACAGGTATCACTCACTCTGTTAATGATGCAGGTAACGACTCCCTCGTTGCCATCCTCAGAAAAATGGAGGAAATGGAGAACGAGGACAAATCAATCTGCGACCAAATGAGAGAGCATCAAGAAAGGGTGGATAAGATACCGGGCGTCCCAAAACTCCTACCAAAGCGGGACGCCGGCCGGTTTGTGGAACAACCGTATAACGACGAGGCCGCACCACATGCTATACCAAAAACATTCAAGATGCCACCATACCCGAAGATATACAATGGTACAACGGACCCTGAGGATCACATCATCTACTGCGTCACCGTAGTGAAAGGCAGCGACCTCGCTAAAGAGCAGGTGACATTCGTATTGCTGAAAAAGTTTGGTGAAACCCTAACCGGGGGAGCATTAACATGTTACTCGCAATTTCCCACACGATCCGTATAGATATTTGAAGAACTGGCCGACAAGTTCGTCACCGCCCATGCAGGGGCCAAGAAAGCGGAAGCCAGGGTGAATGACATATTCGCCATCAAACAATCACATGGAGAAGGGCTCAGGGACTTCCTAGCCCGGTTCAACAGAGTGAGAATGACCCTTCCAAATGTATCAGAGGGGTTGGCAGTAGTAGCTTTCCGAAATGGGCTGATCTGGAGCGGGTCGAGGGCGACCAAAAAACTATTGAACAGACTCATGAAGTACCCTCCCACCACTTGGGAAGAAATACATAACGCTTATTGTGCCGAGGTAAATGCGGACGAGGACGACCGTAATGGTCCAACCCAGCGGTTAATATCGGCACAGATGGAGTTGAGAAAAGACCGCAAAAATGACAATAGGAGGGGTAATGCAGGTCCGTGCCTCAATCGCGAAAGACACCAGCCGTACACCAGGACGGCCGCCGTACCACCTCCTCGTCACTGTGATGGCTCACCCAGGCCGCAAACAGGGACTCACCGAAGCGAAAGAGGTATGCCCCCATTTTTATCTACTCATAACTTCTGTGTTTCTCCTTCAGAGATAGTCTACGCTCTAGAGAAGCTCGACCCTAAGGTCAAATGGCCACAAAAGATGAAGTCCGACCCAAACACCAGAAAATTGAATGCCCTATGTGAATTCCACCAGGAACGAGGCCACAAAATCGAAGACTGCATCGCCTTGAGGCGGGAGGTAGTAAATATGCTCAACCAGGGGCATTTGAGAGGAATGATCAGTGACCGAGGAAGAGCGAACTTCGCTCGCGGGCGAGAACAACACCAGGGGCCGCCCAAACCACCTTCCCCAATTCAGAACATTCAAATGATCATCAGAGGAGGCGACGATGCATCTATCAATAGCGTGAAGTTCACCACCACCCACAAACTCAAGCGATCAATCACCCACGGGTGTGACGAACTCGAAGAAAGTATCATCTTTGATAAGTCAGATACCCACGGTTTGGTCTTTCCTCACTATGACGCCCTTGTCATTACTTTACATGTTTTTGATACTAATGTAAGACGTATCATGGTCGATGATGGAAGTGGTGCGTGCATCATCCATCCTCGATTCTCACCCAAATGAAGCTCAATGACTCAAGATAGTGCCACGCAGCATCACGCTAACAGGTTTTAATAATGTAGTTGAGCGGACATCTGGAGAAATCACGCTGCCCATCTTGGCCGGCGGTGTCACCTGGAGACCACGTTCCATATCATGGACCAGGATACGACGTACAACGCCATCATAATCCGTCCATGGATACACGTCATGAAAGCCGTCCCTCTAGTTTGTACCAAGTCATTAAATTTCCCACCCCCTCTGGAGTATTCTACATCCGGGGAGAGCAACGCACGGCCCGATAATGCTACTGCATCGCCCAAGACTGCACGTACACCCAACAGTTGAAAGGAAAATCCGAGGAAGCATAGCAATTAACGAAGTCAGGGTCGGATGGCGATGAAAAGAAAGACGTCATCAGCGACCCTGAAATCGTGGAAGCCACGAAGTCAACCGTAGAGGACCTCGACCCCGTCAAACTAGACAACAACGACCACATCAAGAATGCTTTCATCGGCCATAAACTCCAAGATCCAGGTAAATTTCATCAATTCTTAAAAAATAACGCAAACCTATTTGCTTTTTCCCATGCGGACATGGCAGGTATCCAAAAGGAAATAACAACTCACAAGTTGAACGTCGACCCATTTTACCCCCCCAGTAAGGCAAATCTAACGGAAGTTCAACTCTGGAATAAACGATGCAGTTCGTGAAGAGGTCGAGAAATTGTTAGTGAACGGTTCTATCAGAGAGTCGAAGTACCCTCAGTGCTCGCCACTGTGTTCATGGTGAAAAAGAAGTACGGTAAGTGGAGAATGTGCGTGGACTTCACAGATCTGAACAAAGCCTGCCCAAAAGACTCGTTCCCGCTGCCCCACATCGACCAACTCATCGACGCTACAGCCGGGCACGAACTGCTGAGTTTCATGGATGCCTACTCGGGCTACAATCAAATCCTCATGGAGGAGGAGGACCAGGAAAAAACCACCTTCATCACCCACTAGGGGATGTACTGCTACAGAGTGATGCCGTACGGGTTAAAAAATGCGGGGGCGACGTACCAAAGGCTAGTGACCGAAATGTTCAAAAATCAATTCGGCAAGACCATGGAAGTATATATAGACGACATGTTGGTCAAGTCAAAGAGAAAGGAAGTCCATATCGACCACCTGAGGGAAGCCTTCGACATACTCAGAAGGTACGACATGAAATTAAACCCCGAAAAATGTGTTTTCGGTGTAACATCTGGAAAGTTCCTCGGCTTCTTGGTGTCACAACGAGGCATCGAGGTCGATACCGACCAAATCTAGGCCATAGAAAGAATCCCATAAAACGTAACCAGCAAAAAGCAAGTGCAAAAGCTGACCGACTGGATAGCCGCCCTGTCAAGATTTATCTCGCGGTCCTCCGATAGGTGCCACAAATTTTATGGCGTACTCAAAAAGGATAACGGACTCCAATGGAAT